AAAACAGGAAGTCTTGAATTGCAAATCCAGGTTTACTCCTTCGGTACCATTAATTGGAAATTCCTGGAAGGAATTTTGATGAACTTCAGACCTTGCTCCACACCTGAAGCAGACTAGATTCTTTCTTCTTCTTCTTCTTCTTCTTCTTCTTCTTCTTCTTCTTCTTCTTCTTCTTCTTCTTCTTCTTCTTCTTCTTCTTCTTCTTCTCTTCTTCTTCCTCTTCCTCTTCCTCTCCCTTTCCCTCTCCTTCTCCTTCTCTTCGTTCTTCCTTCTTCTTCTTCTTCTTCTTCTTCTTCTTCTTCTTCTTCTTCTTCTTCTTCTTCTTCTTCTTCTTCTTCTTCTTCTTCTTTTCTTCTTCTTCTTCTTCTTCTTCTTCTTCTTCTTCTTCTTCTTCTTCTTCTTCTTCTTCTTCTTCTTCTTCTTCTTCTTCTTCTTCCTCTTCCTCTTCTTCTTCTTCTTCTTCTTCTTCTCCTCCTCCTCCTCCTCTTCCTCCTCCTCCTCCTCCTCCTTCTCCTTCTCCTCCTCCTCCTTCTGGGTCTGCCTCATGTTCTTGACTTTCTTCTCTTAACTGGCTGGCTCCTTCAATGACAGACATATTTAGGGTTAAAATTGTTGTCCTATCCGAGCTGTGTCGAGGAACCCTTACGAAGCAACCTGCAGATCGTCCTCGATTTATAGGCTCAGTTGTGGTAGCACATCGAGGACTACTTGTAATCTTGAAATATGTCTTAAAACGGTGTTTCCCAATCTTGGCGACTTTAAGATATGTGGACTTCAACTCTGAGAATAGAATAGAATAGAATAGAATAGAATAGAATAGAATAGAATAGTTGGAAGGGACCTTGGAGGTCTTATAGTCCAACCCCCTGCTCAGGCAGGGGACCCTACCCTTTCAGACAAATGGCTGTCCAGTCTCTTTTGAAAAACTTCCAGTGTTGGAGCATTTACCGCTTCTGGAGGCAGGTAGTTCCACTGATTAATTGTTCTAACTGTCAGGAAGTTTCTCCTTAGTTCCAGGCTGCTTCTCTCCTTGCTGAGTTTCCACCCGTTGCTTCTTGTCCTGCCTTCAGCTGTTTTGGAGAAGAGCTTGACTCCCTCTTCTTTGGGGCAGCCCCTGAGATACTGGAAGACTGCTATCCTGTCCTCCCTCGTCCTTCTCTTCATTAAACTAGACATACCCAATTCTAGCAACCCCTCATCATATGTTTTAGCCTTCATCCCCTTTCTCTAGAAGAGAAAGAGATTGAGAAGGAAGGCCCGGATAATTGAAGGCAGAATGATGGAAAACCTTTGACTCAGTTCCCCCCAATGGCCCCATCCACCTGCTTTACTCACAGGAAAGACTATTATACTATTATGCTTAAGCAGCCTGTTTTGAACGCCAGGGAAGATGACACAGAGCTAAACGTTCCTCGGTGTGATCTCATTGCTATTATGTTGGGTCTGTGAGACTGAAACAACGAAGTTCATCAGAATAGAACTGGAAGGGACCTTGGAGGTCATCTAGCCCAACCCCCTGCTCAAGCAGGAGACGGTGAAGGGTCGAGCCCCCTTTTGTTTCTTCAGGTTTTAGGGACGTTCCTGGCTTCATGGATGCTCACTTGCCACATTTGCTAGAGCAGGGATCCACAACCCCTGGTCTGTGGACCGGCACTGGGTCATGGCATACCAGCAACCGGTCCACACAAACAAGCAAAGTCCCATCCGCGGGATACAGACAATACACAAAACCACGCTCCCTCCGGTCCGTGGAAAAACCTCTCTCCACAGAACCTGGTGCCCAAAAGGTTGGGACCTCTGTGTTAGAGGGCTTGACTTGCTACCACCGTGTAAACTGGGCCCGGTGGAGCCCCCCCCCCATCCTGGCAGTGCAGCAAGCAGTTGCAGCCCTCATGGGCCTTGGTGCAGGGCCCAGGCATCCACATCTTGGCAGACATCCTGCATGGCTAATTGTTCCCCATGACGAAAGAGTGAGAAGCAGTTTCAATTTCCGATTCGGAAGACAGCTGGAAGGGAGCTTGGAGGTCTTCTAGTCCAACCCCCTGCTTGCTCGTGCAGGAGACCCTATGCCATTCCAGGCTAAAACATATAAGGAACGGCTGCTGGAATTGGGCATGTCTAGTTTAATGAAGAGAAGGACGAGGGGGGACAGGATAGCAGTCTTCCAGTATCTCAGGGGCTGCCCCAAAGAAGAGGGAGTCAAGCTATTATCCAAAGCGCCTGAAGACAGGAGAAGAAGAAACTTCCTGACAGTGAGAACAATTAACCAGTGGAACAACCTGCCTCCAGAAGCGGTGAATGCTCCAACACGGGAAGTTTTTCAGAAGAGACTGGACAGCCATTTGTCTGGAAGGGTATAGGGTTTCCTGTCTGAGCAGGGGGTTGGACTAAATGACCTCCAAGGTCCCTTCCAACTTTATTATTATTATTATTATTGATCATCACACAGCCAGATGTTCAGACTGGATTTGGCATTTTGTCTACCTATCGAGTCCTTACCCAGGATCTGGGATAGGCAGATGTGGATGTTTGATGGTATTACAGGTATTGTCGCAGGATGGAAGCCGTTCCTAGTAAGGCCGCCTTTTGCAATTGACTAATAGCGAATTTGTCAATGCCGATGATGGTGTTCAAGTGATGCTCCAGTTGTTTTGGGATTGCACCCAAGGCGCCTATGACTATTGGTACTACCCTTGCTTGCTTTTGCCACAGTCTTTCTATTTCTATTTGTAGCTCTTTGTATTTTGTTATCTTCTCCAGTTCTTTCTCGTCTATTCTGCTGTCTCCAGGCACTGCCACGTCTACTATTCAGACTTTTTTGTCTTTCTTATCAACAATTGTTAAGTCTGGGGTGTTATGTTGCAGGTGCTTCTCTGTTTGAATTCTGAAGTCCCAGAGCAGTTTAATTTTATCATTTTCTATGACTTTCTCTATTTTATGATCCCACCAGTTTTTTTATTATTATTATTACTTAGCAACAGAAATTTTGGAGTCTACTGTCGTATGTCGAGGACCACCTATTTTGATCCCATTACTACGGGGGTGCTTCAGCAATGTATTATTATTATTATTGTTGTTGTTGTTGTTGTATGGTTGTCCAATCTCTTCTTAAAAACCTCCAGCGATGGAGCAACCCACAACTTCTGGTGGCAAGCTGTTCCACGAGTTCATCATTCTCGCTGTTGGGAAATTTCTCCTGAGCTCTAGGTTTGCTTCTCTCCTTGGTTAGTTTCCATCCGTTGTTTCTCGTCTTGCCTCCAGGCGCTTGGGAGAATAGCTTGACTCCCTCCCCTCATCTTCTTTGGGGCAGCCCCTCCAATATGGGAAGACTGCAGTCACAATTAGAAGGAGGACAATGAGTGTTGACCAGCCTTCAAGCAGCTGAGAAGACAAAGCTTGACTCAAGTTGGTATCCTCCTTAACCCCCTGCATGTTGATCTCACTCGTAATCTGGCAATTTTCAAGACCCGTGGACGTCAGCTTTGAGACTTGCGGACCTGCTGGCCGAGGAATTCTGGGAGTTGAAGTCCACTCCTCTTAAAGTCTATATCAGGGGTCTTCAAACTTGGCCCTTTGATGACTTGTGGACTTCAGCTCCCAGAATTCCTCAGCCAGGCATGCTGGCTGAGGAATTCTGGGAGTTGGAGTCCACCAGTCTTAAAGTGGCCAAGGTAGGACACCCCCCCTTCTGGAACAACACCTGCAAAAGCAGCCTCTGTCAGTAATTACAGGTAGTGGAGACCTTGTCAACTCCTTCTACCCCACCAACTGTGAAAAGGAGCAGTATGATGCTGTGGTTAAGCTATCGATCTAGAACTGGGGAGATCTCGGCTCATAGGGGGAGGCTGGGAGGGGGGATTGGGCAATCACAAGGTTGTGCGTACAGGGCTGCAACCTCAGGAAGAGTGTTGTGTGCAAAAATACTCTGATTAGGGGACTGGAGGCTAAAACATGTAAGGAATGGCTGCTGGAATTGGGTATGTCCAGTTTAATGAAGAGAAGGACGAGGGGGGACAGGATAGCAGTCTTCCGATATCTCAGGGGCTGCCCCAAAGAAGAGGGAGTCAAGCTGTTCTCCAAAGCACCTGAAGGCAGGACAAGAAGCAACGGAGGGAAACTAATCAAGGAGAGAAGCAACCTGGAACTAAGGAGAAACTTCCTGACAGTCAGAACAATTAACCAGTGGAACCACCTGCCTCTAGAAGTTGTGGATGCTCCATCAGTGGAGGCTTTTAAGAAGAAACATTTGCCTGGATTAACATAGGATCTCCAGCTTGAGCAGGGGTTTGGACTAGAAGACCTCCAAGGTACCTTCCAGTACAGGGGCTCGCTTCACCGTGGATTCCCCACCCAGCAGAGTGGACAGGCAGCGATTCCATCTCCCTGAATCCCCTCCAGTGCTTCGAGGCAGCGAGGGGGGCTGATCCCCCACCCACCCAGCCCATCTCCCCCTCAGCTTCAGTGCTGGACCCTTCTCCATAAAAGCTGCACTGCTTCAGCCGGGAGTTGTACATTAAAGCAAGTTTTCTTTATTGTAAAAATAAACACGGTTTTCTCTGAACACATTCCTTTTTTTTTTTTTTTACAAAGAAAGAGATTTGCATTTTTTAAAAAAAAAAAAAATTAAATCCCCACCCCATCACAATTTTTATAGCAAAAATGTTCGTTAAAGCCAAGTGTGTGTGTGTGTGTGTGTGTGTGTGGTTTTTGTTTTAAACTCCAGAGCAACGTTTGGGATCCTTCACAAAAGCCATAAACCATGCTGATTTTGTTTTTATACATGTTCCAAAAGGATATATATAAATGGCCTTTTCTCAAGCAGTTCATTAAAATGCTTATGAAAGAGAAAGGTTCAATTGATTAAAAACCAGAGTGCTTCCAAAGTGATCCTGCATAAAACGTAGGCAGTTATTCACACACACACACAAGCATGCACACACACACACACACACACACACACGCTCACATACACACCCTTCTTTAACGAAAGCTAAATACAAAAAATGAAAATACATTTTTTCTCCTTTGATTTTTGACAAAGAAAAGCTGAAGTCCCTGTCTCGGAGCTGTCCACACATCATGGTGCTGAAATACATTTAAAAGCTGTACCAGTTGGAAAACGGGCTATACATCGCTATGGAGGCCCACCATGGATGAACGCCTATAGTGTTTGAACGGTGCTTGAAACCCAACAGTCTTTTCTTCCCCTTCTTCCCTCCGGTTTTTCTCCCATCTGTTCATCCATGGAAGTGCCCTTCTCCTCTGCTTCCCTTCGCCAGTCAACCCGCTGGATGGACTTGCCCTTGGGTCTATCCATGCTCACTTCTTTCCCACGCTACCCGTCGTGGACAGGTGTTCCTCCTCCCCTGAGCGTTCCTGCAAAAGTGCTTCAAAGAATGGTCACTCCCACCCCAATCGCAGCGTCTCCCATCTCAAATCCCTGGGGACGGCGGCCTTAGAGGGTCCCGAAGGAAAGTCCCATGGTGTAAAACCCAAGTCCCTTGAGTTTCTCTTCCGCCCGTGCTTTCTGCTTCAAGTGGACCTTGCTGTGTCTTTTCTTCTCGTCGCTCCTGGCGAAGCGGCGGCCGCAGTCGTCACAGGAGAAGGGCTTTTCCCCCGTGTGGGTCCTGATGTGGGTGGTCAGGTGGTCACTGCGACTAAAGTTCCTCAGGCAGATGCGGCACTGGAAGGGCTTGTGGCCTGTGTGTATCCGGAGGTGTCTGTTGAGCTCGTCTGATCTGGCAAAGCTCCTGACGCAGTTTTCTACCGGGCAGACGAAGGCCTTCTCGTGGGGTTTGGGACAAAAGCATTTAGAAGAACATTTCCCACGCCGTGTCTTCTTCTTGGGACCTGTCAGGCTGCTGGGGGTCCTGCCAAGTCCCAAACTGTTGGTGGAAGAACTCGGGAGGTGAGCTAAAAAGTCCGTCATGGAGACCGACGAGGAGTTGTTGAGACTGTCGGGGTGCATCAAGGTTGGGAGGACTTCCGGGTGGGCGATGGGCGCTTCAAATTCTCGGGTGAACGGCGGGGAAAGTTTAGGGGGGGGCTTGGCCTCTACAAAGTCCGCGGGGAGTTGACCGTGGCTTAGGAACGCTTCGGCCTGACAACGAAAATCCAAGGGAGGTCCAAAAGTCCCGGATTGTTCAGAGAGAGAGTTGAGTTCTGACTGGCAGCTGACCATCAACACGTTCTCCGTCTTGGGGGCCATCTGGGGAAACATGGCTTGACTTGCCTCCACCGGGTGGAAGGCCTCTGAAGGTGGACACTCGGCCGGCAAATAAGGGTGAGGCTGGCTGAGGTGCTCCCAATGGGAGCAGGAAGATTTGAACTTCTCCGCGGTGGGAGAGATGGAGGAGAGCTTGATGTCCTGCTTGGAATCCAAAAGCTTCTCCTGAAAGAGACAGTGAGAAGCGGAGGCCCTCTCTTCAGGAGAAGCCTGGAACTGCTGGAGGCTCTCCGGAGCCGAGAAGGAGGAATTATAGCCTTGTTCGGCTAAAGACGGTTGCACGGAGATGTTCAGCTCAGGCTGGCAGGTAGAGTAGAGATCCAGGTGGTTCTGGAGGACCTCTGGAATGGTGTAGCTGGTCTCTGGTGGCCTCTGGTGACCTTCCAGAGCAGAGAAGGGAGATAGTCCTAGGATTCCGGACATCAAGTTGAAGAGGGACTCCTGATCTGGGCATTGTTCCGTTTTGATAAAAAGGCTGCCGGAGTAACTGACCGGTGGGGACGCTTCTCCAGAAAGGAAGTAGTAGTCAACTGGTTCAGAGTTCATGGTAGCTCCCATCAAGTCAGCTGGAAAATCAACAACGGGAGACGTTGAGTTTAAAAGAAACGCAAGGGTTTCTACACACAGGTATTCCGCGACTTACAACTTACAAGTTCGTTTAGTGCAGTGGTTCTCAACCTTTTTAATGCCGCGACCCCCAACCGGTCGTAAGTCGAGGACGACTCAACCGGTCGTAAGTCGAGGACTACTCAACTGGTGCAGCACCGTTTGCGGACTGGGGCTTTTGGCGGGCTCAGCAGGGCAGAGACAGCCTGGACAATTCCTATTGGCTTTTGAAAGCCAATAGAATTAGACTCTATTCAAGAGAGTCTCTTCTATTGGCTTTCAAAAACCAATAGAATAAAAGGGAGTAGCACAGCTAAGGAAAAGGGGACAAAAAAATGGCGGACTGTGTTGTTTGGCGACCCCCGTGAAATGGTCGTTCAACCCCAAATGGGGTCCCGACCCACAAGTTGAGAACCTCTGGTTTAGTGACTGTTCCAAGTTACAACGGCGCTGGGAAAAAAAGGGACTTGTGACCATTTTACACACCGACAACGGTGGCAGCCTCCCCAGGGTCGCCTGATCTATGTTCGGATGCTTGGCAACTGACTCACATTTATGACGGTTGCAGTGTCCCTTCACAACCGTGTGACTATTTTAACCTCTGCAGGGTTTCGCTGACCGACGGTGGCTAGAGAAGTCATAAAATGGGGGCCAAACTCGCTTGACAAACTCCCCACTTAACAACGTAAATGTTGGGCCTCAGTTGAGGACCTAAATAACAGGGACAGTATTGTTCGTGCTCACCTAGATTCCTCCAGAGCAGTGTTTCTTAGGACCTTTAAGATGTTTGGACTGGAACTCCCAGAATTCCCCAGGCACCATTATGCTCTACCTCAGTGTTTCCCAAACTTGACAATTTTAAGGCATGAGGACTTCAACTCCCAGAATTCCACAGCCAGCAATGCTGGCTGTGGAATTCTGGGAGTTGAAGTCCACATGCCTTAAAATTGTCAAGTGTGGGAAACACTGCTCTACCTAATATAGAGTTTGCACCCTCCTGCTTGGTAGAGGCTCCTTTACTTACTGTTTCTCAACTATGACACCTGTAGGATCTGTGGACTTCAATTCCCAGAATTCCTCAGCCAGTGTAACTGAGCGTGGAGCTCATAACTTACTCTGAAATTTAACTCTGAGCTTAGAGCCAGTTTGGTTTAATGGTTGAGGCACTAGGCTAGAAAGAGGGAGTTCTAGTCCTGCTTTAGTCAGAAAAGCTGGCTGGCTGACTTTAGGCCAATCACCAGGAGTTGGTGAGTTCTAGTCCCGCCTTAGGCATGAGAGCTGGCTGAGTCTCTTTGAGCCAATCACCAGGAGACCGTGAGTTTTAGTGCTGCCTTAGCCATGAAAGCCAGCTGGGTGACTTTGGGCCAATCACCAGGAGACGGTGAGTTCTAGTCCTGCCTTAGGCATGAGAGCTGGCTGAGTCTCTTTGAGCCAATCACCAGGGGACTGTGAGTTCTAGTCCTGCTTTAGTCAGGAAAGCCGGCTGAGTGACTTTGGGCCAATCACCAGGGGATGGTGAGTTCTAGTCCTGCCTTAGCCATGAAAGCCAGCTGGGTGATTTTGGGCCAATCATCAGGAGACGCTGAGTTCTAGTTCTGCCTAAGCAAAAAAGCCGAGTGCATGACTTTTGGGCCAATCACCAGGAGACTGTGAGTTCTAGTTCTGCCTTAGTATGAAAGCCAGCTGGTGACTTTGGGACAATTGCCAGGAGACTGTGAGTTCTAGTTCCACCTTAGCATGAAAGCCAGTTGACTGATTTGGGGCCAATCACCAGGAGACGGTGAGTTCTAGTCCTGCCTAAGCAAAAAAGCCGATTGCATGACTTTGGGCCAATCACCAGGAGACGGTGAGTTCTAGTTCTGCCTTAGCATGAAAGCCAGCCGGTGACTTTGGGCCAGTCCTTCTCTTTCCGCCCAAACCCACCTCACAGGATGGTTGTTGAGGGGGGGGGGAAATGGGAGGAAGGAAGGAATATTTGGTATATGTTCACCACCTTGAGTTATTTCTAAGAACCAATACAGGCGGGATACAAATATATACATAAATAAACTTCCCACTCAGAGACTGGAAATAAACCATCTTCAAGAGCCACTATATTAAAATCAAATTAAAAAAAAGTCCTTCAGCCCCCCCCAGATCCTGGGAACAAAGTCAAAATGGTGATGGACGGATCGCCCTTCCCCAAACCCTTTCTCCAAGCCCCACAGGAAATTCTTGAAGTGGAAGAAATTGGGGAGGGGCGAGGAGGTCAACCTGTGTCCCTTAGATGGCAAAGTTTGGGAAAGACGTGTCCAGAATTCTGGCGAACGTACGGGGTTGAGCTAGATGACCTCTTGGGAGCCCTTCCGCTTGCCTCTCTTTGCAAACATCCAGTTCGAAGGCCCCTCCCCTCCTCCCCGATCACGCGACCTTGGCCGTGGGAACTCACCTACTCACCTCTTAACGCCCCCCCCTTGAAAGATAATTCCTGGACGATTGGAAGAATCTAGCACGACTATTAACCCCTTGAAAAATGCTTGGGTTTAGGGCATTCTGACATTGAATCCCTTCTATCTGAGCCTTACAAAGGTGGGGAGGGGGGGTCTGGCCATCCAGAATATAGGAGGGGGGGGCAAGTTGAGCGACAACCCATCCCCCATGTCTGGCCAAGCTCCCCCAGTCACGGCTGCTGAAAATTGGTGGCCGAGATTCCTGCCATTTTGAGATGGGCATCACTCAAAGGCACTCAAAAGCAGCTTAGTTTTTTTTAAAAAAGGATCCCCCCACCTACAGAGCCCCCACTTCTCATTGCACCACCCCAGCTTCCTGCCCCCCCCAAACGTTGAAAGACACCCCAGCCCTCCCAAGGCTATCCATCTTTGGCCTAGAGAGAGACAGAAGACAACAAAGTCGATTTGATTGTGCATCTCATCTTGAGCTATTCCAAAGAGGTCGTTTACAAGAGCTTGCAGCCTGATCTTCACCACCACCACCACCACCACCTCCTCCTCCTCCTTCTCCCCCCCTCCCTTTCTTACCTGCAAAATAGTCGGGGGCTTCTTCTCTGGGGGGCTGGCTCAGGAGGGGAGACAGCTGCTCTCCTTGGTCGGGGTATTGTCCGTCTTCGGCTCTCGAGGTTTCCTGGCGGGAGAAGTCCATGAGGTTCAACATGTCCCGAGGATGGAGGAGGAGGAGGAAGAGGAAGAGGAGGAAGGCAAGTGGGTGGAACCCAGCCCCCGGGCTCAGGGGGAGGGAACCGTCTCCTCCAGGGGTGCACGTGGCAAAGGGGAACCCGGGGGGGGGCTCCTGCCTTGCCTTGCCTTGCTTTGGCCCGGCCGGCCTCACCTGCCGGCCTCACCTGGGCTGGCCGGGCTCCGCAGGTGCTCGGGCTGCCTCCTCTTGTTTGTAAGCAAAGAACCCAGGAGCTGCAGGGCTGCTTTTTATATCTGCCTCGCATCTTCCGTTGCAACCCGGCGCTTCCATTTCTGGAGTTCCCAAGCAGGGCTGGCTGTGACGTAAATGCCCATATATGGACTCAGGATGCAGCGGAGGGAGACCCAATAAGGAAATCTCTCCTGGTGACGTTTTCCTGCCCCCCCCCTCCTCTCCTCTCTTCTCTTCTCCTCTTCCCCACAGCAATTTTGGCACCTGTCTTTACCATCTCGCTCTCTTCCTCCTCCCCCCCCCCACGATAATGAATCTTTCTCAGTTGAGAATAATAATAATAATGTAAAAAAAAACACCTGGGAAATTGCTGAGCATCAGGAAGTGGCTGGGTGGAGGAGACTCTCTCTGCCCCCTCCGCCCCGCTAACCCCCTTGGCAGAAATTTGGGGGGGGGAAGCCAGATGCAACCCATTGCACTGCTGCAAGGGAAGGGCAGATGTTGGGGCCCAAAGCGCGCCCCCCCCTCCACGTCCACTGGAGCCTTCTTCTTCAGTGGTGTTTTCTAAGCTCTGGGGGTGCCCCCCCCGGGAGAAAGGTGGTATTTTAGCTGTCCTACTGGGAAAGATGGAGGGAAAGAGAAGGAGAGGAGAGGCAGCAGAAAGGAGAATGGACTCACTCAGGGTGGTGATGGGGGGGGGGGCAAGGAGAACAGAAGCGACAGGTCGGCGAGGGTTCGTCATGGAGAAAGACTCATGTGGGTGCCAGAAGTTGGAAATGGCTTGATGGCCCCCAATCCACCAACCGACCGATCGACCGATCAACTGATCAATCAATCAATCAACCGACCGACCAATCTGCAGACACCAATGAAGTCAAGGTCTCCGTTGAGCTTTGAAAGCTGTGAGGGTGAATTTCGCCTTGCAAGAGCTCTCCAAGGTACTGAAATAGCTTCTGTTTTTTTCTGCCTGACTCTAGACCAGGGGTCTTCAAACTTGGCCAACTTTAAGACTTCAACTCCCAGAATTCCTCAGCCCACAAGTCTTAAAGCTGCCAAGTCTGAAGACCCTTCTTCTATTGAATGTAGTGGACTTCAACTCCCAGAATTCCTCAGCCAGGAGGAATTCTGGGAGTTGAAGTCCACAAGTCTTAAAATTGCCAAGTTTGAAGACCACTGGTCTAGACTCAGGTCTGTACAGATAATCCTCAACTTACGACGTCATTTAGCGATGTACAACATGGCGCGGGAAAAAAAGGGAACGATGACCGTTTTTCGCGCACATGACCGTTGCAGCACCCATGCAGTCCTGGGTTCGAAACTCGGACGCTTGGCATTGGACTCGTGTTTATGATGGTCGCTGTGTCCCCTGGGTCACGCGATCCCTTTTGGCGACCTTCTGACAAGCAAAGTCAATGGGGGAAGCCGGATTCGCTTAACGACTGTGCCAGATTCACTTAAGAACTGTCTTGCTTAGCAACGGAACTTCTGGGCTCAGTTATGTCATAGGTTGAGGACTCTCTGTATGGTGCAGACCATATCCAACCTTTTCTCCTCTCTTGTCCGGCTTCAGAATCTGAACTCTGACTGGTCCTTGGAAGGCGTCGTTAAGGGGTCGTTAAGTGAATCGCTGCAGTCGTTAAATGAGTAACCTGGTCGTTAAGCGAACCCAGATTCCCTGTTGACTTTGCCTGTCAGAAGGTCCCAAAAGGGGGCGATCACACTGACCCCGGGACACCGCGACCGTCGTATGAACCTGTCCGAATGTTGATCGCGCGATCAGGGGGACACCCCACAGGTCGTAAGTGTGGAAAAGGGTCGTAAGTCACGTATGCCGTCGTAACTTTGAGCGGTCATGAAATGAAACTGTTGTAAGTTGAGGACCACAAGGAACTCTAGGTGACAGTCTTGGTTCCTGGAGGCTGATAGGTGACTTTCTTTATCCTTAGAGTCGGGATTCTCAACCTTAGCTACTGGAAGAGGCGTGGACTTCAACTCCCAGAATTCCAGTGGCTAAGGTGGAGGATCACCGCTTCAGTAGCTTCCTTAGCGTCTAAATCAGTGGTTCTCAACCTTTTTAATGCCGCGGCCCCCAACCGGTCGTAAGTCGAGGACTACTCAACCGGTCGTAAGTCGAGGACTACTCAACTGGTGCAGCACCGTTTGCAGACTGGGACTTTTGGCGGGCTCAGCAGGGCAGAGACAGCCTGGACAATTCCTATTGGCTTTTGAAAGCCAATAGAATTAGACTCTATTCAAGAGAGTCTATTCTATTGGCTTTCAAAAGCCAATAGAATAAAAGGGAGTAGCACAGCTAAGGAAAAGGGGGAAAAAAATGGCGGACTGCGTTGTTTGGCGACCCCCGTGAAATGGTCGTTCTACCCCAAATGGGGTCCCGACCCACAGGTGGAGAACCACTGGTCTAAATAATACTCATTATTTACAGTAGGTCCACCTTTTCTTGACTTGGTGTGTCTCTGTCCTCGGAGAACCGCAGCCGAGTTGCACCTCGGAAAGGTCTCATCCCAACACGACTCCGGGTAGTCCTCAACCTACGATGGTTCATTTAGTGACCGAAGTTACAATGGCACTGGAAAAAGCGAGCGGTGACTGTTTTTTTCACACTGACGAACGTCGTTGTGACATCCCCAAGGTCACGTGGTCAAAGTTCGGACGCTTGGCAACCGGTTCCTATTTATGACGGTCACAGGGTGCCGGGGTGGCGTGACCTGCTTTTGCGACATTCTGACCAGCAAAAGTCCACGGGGGGGGGGGGAAAGCCAGGTTCGCTTCATAAGCGCGTGACTTAGTGACCGCAGGGATTCCCTTAACCAGAAGGTCACCCAATGTGGCAAACTCTCTTAACAAAAGTCTCGCTTAGCAACGGAAATGTTGGGCTCCTTTGTGGATGTAAGTTGAGGACTATTTGTAACTCATTTGTGCTGCACTTTGAAGGGATGCCTTAATTAGTTTAGGGAAAGAAGAAAAAAAAAGGGTTCCTCCTTCCCTCTCTCCTTCCCTCTCCCTCTCTCTCCCTCTCTCTCTCCCACTCCCTCCCTCCCTGTCCCTTCCTCTCTTCTTCCCTCTCCCTCTCTCCCTCCCTCTCTCCCTGTCCCTTCCTCTCTTCTTCCCTTTCTCTCTCTCCCTCCCTCTCTCCCTGTCCCTTCCTCTCTTCTTCCCTTTCTCTCTCTCCCTCCCTCTCTCCCTGTCTCTTCCTCTCTTCTTCCCTCTCCCTCCCTCCCTCTCTCTTTCCCTCCCTCCCTCTCTCCCTCGCCCTTCCTCTCTCCTTCCCTCTCTTGATCCCTCCCTGTCTCTCTCTCCCTCCCCCTTCCTGTTTTTCCCTCCCTGTCTCTCTCCCTCCCTCTCTCCCTCCCTCTCTCCCTGTCCCTTCCTCTCTTCTTCCCTCTCCCTCTCTCCCTCCCTCCCTCTCTCCTTCCCGCCCTCCCTCTCTCCCTCGCCCTCCCTCTCTCCTTCCCTCTCGATCCCTCCCTGTCTCTCTCCCTCCCTCTCTCCCTGTCCCTTCCTCTCTTCTTCCCTCTCCCTCTCTCTCCCTCTCCCTCCCTGTCTCTTCCTCTTCTTCTTTCTGCGTCTCTATCCCTCCCTCCCTCTCCCTCTCTTCCTCTCTCTATCCCTCCCCCTCCCTCCCTCTCCCTCTCTCTCCTTCCCTCCCTCCCTCTCCCTCGCTCTTCCTCTCTCCTTCCCTCTCTCCCTCTCCCTCCCTCTGTCTCTCTCTCCCTCCCCCTTCCTGTTTTTCCCTCCCTGTCTCTCTCTCCCTCCCTCTCTCCCTCTCCCTTTCTCCCTCCCTCTCTCTCCTTCCCCCTCCCTCCCTCCCTCCCTCTTTTGCTATTTACACCCAGAGTGCACCAGATCTCATCCAATCAGGAACTCCTAGGAGCACTGGGTGGTTTTGTTTGCTTCCCGTTGGCCTCCTCCTCCTCCTCCTCCTCCTCCGTCCTTGTCGCTTTTCCCTTTCGGGGGGCTTTGTGCGAAGGTTGCATTGTTGCATTCGGCAGAGGCAGCCTTGCGATGGGGAAGGGTGCAGCCTCCCTTCCTTTGCCCTCCGGATCCACCCAGGAGCTGTTGCGTAATCTGCGCACTGGGTCCTTCGAAAATGGGCCGGTTGCAAGGAGGGCATGTTTTGGAAATGGTTTGGACCAGGTTCTTTGGACACCCCCCCCCTCCTCGAACACAGCACCTCCTCTGCTATCTCTTAAAGGAACCTACTTTTTTTTTTCCTGGTTCCCATGGAGCCTGGAGTGGGGGGGGGGGAAAGGAAAAAAAGGACCTGCCTTAACACTCACACGAGTTTTAACGAGCCGATTTTGAATCGCTCATCCCCTTCGCCCAGATGTCAGGAGAATAAATTTTTCTGCGCGCACTTAGCCCTTAAACCTACGGCCACAACTGCTGCCGCTAAGCAGGTGATCCCCCCCCCCCAAAATGAGGGCCGCGCCGGAACCCAAAGTTCCAGGCAGCTGTTAAGCGGGTTTTGCCCCGTGTCGTGGCCATTTTCTGCCACGGCTCTTAAGCAAATCGCAGCATGTTGTTAAGCGAGGCGTGCGGCCGCAAAGTGAAACCAGCTTCTCCCCGTTGACTTGGCCTGTTGGGAAGGTTGTCAAATAGCATTGAAATGACTCCGGGATGCTACGCCTGTTGTGAACGCAGGTTGGCTGTTAAAGAGCCCGAGGTGGCGCAGCAGTTAGGGTGCAGTACTGCAGGCCACTTTAGCTGACTGTG